GGTGAGAATATATTCTTGATAGCATAGTTGTTCACGTATGTTAAATAGATAGGTTGGTTCAGATTTGCTTATATATTTAGTTATATATTAAGCGAGTCCTTTATTAGTAACATATTGAGCATTCATGTGGGCATTCCATGTCATCAAGGTAGGAGCATAGTATGGAACCACCCATTGATCACTAGGTGTTAGGCATTGATAAGTATATCTGCAGTTATTTGGGTCAGAGTATGTACGTTCAGAAAAAGGATGAGGAAATCCTTTTCTGCACCTAGAGTTAGGTGGAGCAGGACTACCACATTTAGAGTTACAGGTATGTATTTAAAGTGTATTAACTTTTCTATATAGTTCAGGTTCTAGAGTTGGATTTGGAAAAGTTGATCTAATAGTATTTTGGTTGATCATTTTAGATACATTGGATGTTGTCCAATAAACACCATGTAAATAGGCAGATCCACGGTTCTGAAATTCTATCCTATCAAAAAAATGATGATATGTTCTCCACTCGCTGACATTAGGGGCTTTCCAAATGAATTTTTTAAGGTTTTGTAATCTATGTACGAAGTGTAAAGTTGTATGTAATGGTCTGTTAGTTGGTAAGGATCTTTATTATTAGTATTAATAAGAATATCGTGAAGATGATGCCACGAGCCTTTGGCCATAGATAAAGTAATGAATATTGACAGAAGACCTAATTCACAGATTATTGTATTTAGGTGTAGGGTTTTTCGTTGAAAATAAGTATCGCCTATGCAAATAAACATAGGAATAGAAGAAGTAATAGTTTTATTGTAATGCAAATTGTTTGTGTAAGTGTTTCGTTCTATTATTTCATTATTAGTAGGTAAATGATTTGTATTATTGGTATCAGATTGGTGAATTAATCGTTGTGTTTTCTGAAAATTTCTAAGTTTTTCTAGTTGAAGATAGGCCCAGGCTGGCCAGTAACAATGTAGACGAAAGCAGGGGTCTAAAGAAAGTAAGCGATGTTTGATATATTTGCCGAAAGTATCATGTTGTTATTGTGTATTATTTAGTTGATCACACATCTTGCGGTAATAACCAAGACCATCCAGATATAAATCAGGAAAAAGTAGTGGCTCAAAATGAGGGTCATTTAAAGAAATAGGGATAGTAGTAGATCCATCGTTTGTTAAGAATCCGGCCATGAGACAGCGATAATAAGCATCTTCATCATGAATTTTAGACAAAAAGTTTTGGTGTAGAACTACTATATCGCCCTGTTGCATCCGTGGTACATTTTCATCATTAGGTAAGTGAGTGGCTACAGGTAAAGACAGATGTGCAGATAGATCAGATGGAAGCATTTGAGAGTAGCTATGTAAAAAGGGGTTATTTTCCTTAAGCCAATTAATAGCATCAGTTAAAGAATTATCAAGCCAAGGAGTGGCAGTTTGAGGTTCTAAAAAGGCATCTAGTAGACCAAAATATAGACTTAGGGAGTAAAAATTTCGAGAGTAGTTTATAGTGCCTACAAATGATTGATATTCAGTAAAAGGATTTGCACCAAGTGTACGAACTAGTGAGCAATGCAGGAAGATGGGAGATAGATATCTGCGTTTTTCTAACGGTACGCGTTCAATTTCGATAGGAGTTTAAGGAAGGTATCGAGGATAATTTCGATCTGAGTTTGATTTGCACAAGCGAAATATAGCAATACGATTTGGAGGTGGGATTGGATTAGTGGTTAATGTGATATTTGAATACGAAACATTAAGCAGATAATCAGTGTCAGAGTCTTGTTCAATCCACTTAGATTTTTTAGAATACATTAGCTTCGAGCAAATGGAGCAAGGAACATATAGAAATTGACATAGAATTTCATTCTCAAATTTGTCAATGATTTGTTGCATATTCGGAGAGATTATCCATGGGGAGTTTGTGGGTGACATATAGGGTGCGGAACGGGCCGGGCTAAGTCTGGAAATTTGCGGGCCGTGCTAAGCCCAGAAATTTGCGGGC